AAAACACCCCCCCCCCCCCCCCCCCCCCCCCCCGAAAAACAGCCCCCAAACTCAAATTATTATGTATGTTATGAAGAGGGTCAGTCTTGCTTCTCAGGTGTCTAAGCTTCTGTTAGTTTCTTTATCTTAGTTTCTTTATCTTAATTGAAATTCAGATTTATTTAGAAGTAGTGGCCTGAATACCTAGGTTTTTAATCCAGGTGCATTTCTGTTTTAAAACCAACAGATTGTGATGCCACAGAATACACTTCTTGTTTAGAAATCCTTTTCAAGGGTAGAGATGCTGTATACTTGCATTAAAAGCCTTGTTACGCTCTTCTTCTAACCAGAAACTTGATAGCTATCACTGAGCCTTTATCTTTCTCTCCATCTTTCCCATCAAAACTGTCATAACAAAATGGCTTAATATTTGATATCAAATTACAAAAGCATCATCCAAAAAATGAAGCACACATTTTGAAATGCTAACAGTGAAAGTCTGATTTGGCATTGTTGGAAAAGCTCCCATTGCTGCCGTAACCCTTCAAACAAGCCCTTGAACATACTTGCTTGCAATTTTGCAAAATGTTGATTACAGTTAGCTTTTTATATTAGAGAAGCTCGACATTCAGCACTTTAAAGGGCTTGCTCTTTACTACTTAATTTGCAGAACTTGGTAATTAGTAGTGTGTCTTACCATCTGTAGGAAAAATAGTTTTATTTCTACAAAATGTGTATGTATGTCTATAAAAAGCATATAGAAATGAATCTTATAAGTCTAGACTACATAGTTGAAATAATTTTTATTTAAAGTTTATTGCCTAATGTACCATGTGTAGTTGAATAAACCCATTTTTTAGCTTTCTTTTGTGTAAATGCATTTGATTAAAATGTTCTGCCTGCTTAATTGGCTTCAGAGACTTGCATTTCAGTATTATCAAAATGTCTGCAAAAGTTTATTCTGGCCACTTAAATGAAAGATAAAAATATGTTTTTTATGTTTTTCCATTCCTTGTAGTTGCTAGTATAATTCAAACAGCATTAATTTGAATAGATTTACAAACATTGCTTGTTTTTTCTAACAATAAAATTCGATACCTTTTAAAAAAAGTTAAAATATTATTTCTGCATAAGTGTACATGGAGTAGAGAGAACATTGCTTATAATGTTAATATAAAGTCTGTGGTCTGCATTATACGTAAGAAAATGTGCAAGTGAGGATTCTGTGTTGAAAATGTAGATTTTTGTGAAGACATCTCGCTCAACTTATAGACACATTGTTATATTTCATGCTTCAATTGCAATTTAAAGAGCAAGGAAAAGGACACTGATAACTTACATCTAAAATCAAGACCATGTTTTTATTTCTATAGGCAGTTTTGAAATTTTGCTCAACTAATAATTCATAAAGGAAGACAGACATTTTGACAAACACTTTTTTTTGATTCCTTACACAGACAAAAGAAGTTGGTTTACTTGATGCAGACGTATATGGACCTTCAATTCCAAAGATGATGAACTTAAAAGGAAACCCAGAATTAACAACAAGTAAGTGGAAGAGATTTTTTTTCTGTCATCTTTGTACAGGGATGAGCATGGACCACTCATTGGTGCTTTGTTGGTGTGGCACAGAAGGGATGCAAACAGAAGATGAAGACTTAGTGTATATATATATATTTTTAAACTTTTTATTTTTAGTAATGAGGTTGCTTTCAAAGCTAGCTTGTACAACTAGGAGCATATTCAGGGTCTTCTTTCTTTCTGTGTTGGTCCGCAGACTTTGGGAGTTTCATGGATTATTACTAGAGGCACTGGACACGGTAGCTAGGAAAGGAAGGTTATTGTCAGTAGTTTTAAACTTGCTATACAGGATCCCACTACAGAAGACCTCCAAATTAAAAAACAAAAACCACTAGTCTAGGAAAAAAAAAAGACTATTCTAGGAAATAAGAGAAGGGTCATTACAGTAGCTTGTATAAGATGTCATTGAATTGATTGTGTTTGATCTCTCTTTCTTCAGCCAAACATGCCAGGCCACTTGATTCATTTTTATTTGAAGTTGTGTGTTTAGGAATGCAGTGATGGTGACTTCACTACTAGAAGGTAAAGACAGTAGAGAAAACTCCTAATTTTCCTTTTGGTAGGAAGGATTCTGGTCTGGGGGAAAGCAAATTCAGGTAGGAGAGTTTGAAGAGAAATAAGGAAGACCTAAGGTAGAAAGGTTGCATCAAGTCTGTTTATCTTTCAGGAATTTAACTTCCACTAGGGCCAACCAAGTGTGAAACTGAAGAATGGCTTTATCCTGATACCCTCCCTGTTCATGGGATGCTTGAGTGTAAGCGAGTGTGCTTTTTTGGGGGTGGTAGGGACACTGAGGTGATAGGATTTGTTTAATGCTTTGTTTTGCCTGTCCTGTGATAAAGTGCATATAATTATAAAAACTGAAAACATGTAATCACAGACAAAACCAGTCTCACACTGTAACACTTGGCCTACACATTGAGAACTACTAGGATCCTACTGAAGAAAGTACAAGCTGGCAATACTTGTTGACAGGGAGGGATCAAGAATGTGTACCAGTTCAAATAAGACATAAAAGGGCTTGAGTGAAATAATCAACTGTAAATACCCATTAATGTTTGTGGGCAGTAATTGCTGGGTAAAATGGAATTTAAATATTCCTTCCACTTCCTTTCATGCCATGATCTTTATTTATCATAGAATCACAGAGTGGTTTGGGTTGGAAGGGACCCTTAAAGGTCACCTAGTCCAACCCCCCTGCAATGAGCAGGGACATCTTCAACTAGGTCAGGTTCCTCAGAGTCCCATCCAGCCTGGCCTTGAATGTTTCCAGGGATGGGGCATCTGCCACCTCTCTGGGCAACCTGTTCCAGTGTTTCACCACCCTCATTGTAAAAAATTTCTTCCTTGTATCTAGTCTGAATCTACCCTCTTTTAGTTTAAAACCATTACTCCTTGTCCTATCGCAGCAGGCCCTGCTAAAAAGTCTGTACCCATCTTTCTTATAAGCCCCCTTTAAGTACTGAAAGGCCATAATAATATCTCCCTGGAGCCTTCTCTTCTCCAGGCTGAACAAACCCAACTCTCTCAGCCTTTCCTCAGAGGAGACATGTTCCATCCCTCTACATCTACTGTGCTATAGTTGTAGAATGTCCATTTGTAACTGAAATTAATTTGTGCACATGTATGGGTGTTGTGGTGGTGGTTGTTCTATACGTTCTCACTTGGTATAAAGCATGCAGAATGAAACAGCGCCAATACCTTTAAGGGGTGGCTATTGAGCTTGCAACGTTAGCCTCTGAAAAATTTGTAAGTGGCAAACTTAGGATTTCTTATATAATTAAAATTCTGTCTCCTTAGGCTTATACCCTCTGCTCTGGATAAAGTAATGTATTTTCATATATGGATGCACTGCATGTGCTTATACAGGCAACTTTCGAGTACTTTCTACATTTAAGTACATAGCTTACAAATACAGACTTTATTTAGATTAATTTCTAAGAGAGAAAGACAGTACTTGGTTTTATTTGTTGGCTTTCTGTTTTATTTTTTGAAGTCAAAGGATAATTCTGTTATGTAATAAATAAATAACTGAATCCTTTCATGTCATCAGTAGAGTTTGACTTCCTGATACAGACTGAAGTATTCTCGCATTCTCTTGTATTTTGGACCCTGTTGAGGGTATATGTCATACAGGCTGTGTTTTCCCATAACAGAATTTTTGCTATGAATTTTGCATTTGAAGTTCATTATGCAACATGAACACAAAAGGGACTATGTTGTGGTGTTCTTCATATCTCTCATCTTTTCCTTTTTGTGTGATGTTGACTTTTTCCTTTCCAAAGGAGATTGGGTAAAAATTTGATTCTCCTTTTTTCTCACTGTCTGAAAAATTGATTAGATAACTTTGAACTTCTTATACATTTTGCTGTGCATTTTATCAATTCATACCAAATTTAAATCCATGTCATGAGCCACAAATAAGAAGCAAGTTGCCCAGTCTATTTCATATGGTCATAAAAATTAGCTTGCTAGGAATGCAAGAAGTTAGGATTATATTCAGTCAGATATTAGGGCAGCTCAATTTTGTTTGTATATAAGTTTCAGTGACTGTAGGTATTTTGGGTATACAGCTGAGAATTCACTGTAAGTTTTTGTCTTAACACATTTTGAGTGTTGTTAAAAATACGGAATTCAGTGTAATAGAAATTGGAGGATTTCCCTCAATTGAAATGGCTGCTGTTGACGTGTAAGCACTACATTTTGATCACTAAAATGTATTCTTTCTACTTGTGTGGAACGTACAAGCAAATTTTATTAGGATTTAAGAAGATACCTTATTTTTTAACTGACAGAAAATAGATTTGCGTATTTCAAAAGCTTGGCACATTACACAAGTCTGCTGAGAAACTCATGTAGTAATTCAGTATGAATGATAACAGGATAGAATTTGTATTCAGGAATTCTGTTCACTTCTCTGTGCACTTTTAACTCTTGAGTTGATGAAGCTGTAGAGTAACAACAATGAAACTGTTGGCAAAGTAGCTGATATTAAGAGGATTTCATTGTGAAAATAGGAATTTGGAAGGCCAAGGAAGCTTTAGTTGTGAACTTCAGGGATTCCTTTAATGAGTGACAGATAAGATAAGCTTGCAAGGAAGCAGTCCATCAAAGGTGTATGTATGTGGTGTGGATATATAGGTTTATATATACAGGTATAGATATAAAAATATGTGTGACGCTTGTATTTTGGTATAATGAGGTTTAGTGTTATTTTTTGATTTCTTGCTACATTTTCAAGAGTAAAACAAACTCTGAACAAACATTGTTTTGTACAGTAATTGAGCAAACCCAGGCAGTTCTGTGTTAGAGATGTGCATTAACAAGGTATACATAACAATAAGTCAATTAAAAACATTTTTTTAATAGCATAGCAATCAAAAATTACATTTAAAGTCTTCAGTGTGAGGCCTGGATTTGAAAAGGAATCTGTAGAGTCATCCTAGGAGGTTCTGAGCACTCTTACACTCTTTGATTTCTATTTCTTTTCTCGCACATAGCAGTTGAAAAGGGATTAGGGATGCCTGGTACCATACAGAATAAATCTGTGCAGCAATTATTAATTCTGAATAGAAATTATTATAGTTATGCTATAATTTAAGTTTTCAAAATTAATTAGGAGTTCTTAGTGAGGAGAGAGTCTGTATAAATGGAAGATACTCTATTAATTTAATTTTGCAAACTGTAGTACATTGGAAAGTCTGCTAACATTTAATGAGGTGTCATTCAAAATACTTTAAATGGTCAGGGAAATATTGGTTAATAAGTTGAAACCTGAATTTAATTAGTTAATGGAGGATTATCTAACTATGGAATAAATATTAACATCAACTACAATATATACACAGGGCAATGCTTATAACACAAGTAACAAAAGCATTACTTCTATTCTTTCCCCAAATAATTTACTATAAAAGCTGTTTTCTGGCTTAGTGAACTGCATAATTTCATTGTTTTCCTTTTTCTAAAAATCTACCATTGAAACTAGTTGGTAGAAAGTAAAAGCTATTATATTACCAAAAAGATACTGCCATTTTGCCAGATAAAGATAACATTTCTTCACTTAATTTAAATGATTGTGAAGTTTTTGGTGGGCTTTTTTTCTTTGACAGTTGAGTGCTCTTTTAATATTTCAAAGCTTTGTTGCCATTTTATGATATCCTCAGTGTCTTTTTTATTTCTTAATAAAATAGTAAATTCAGAAGATCAGTAGTGGGCATCTGTCGTCAAAATCTGAAATAAAAAGTAATTTCTGAGAGAATGCTAGCAGTAGTTGTGGCTGTCCCCATTGAGTCTAATAATATTGCAGGAGCTATGGAAATTAAATTACTGATAAAATTCTAAAGTCAGAAATGGACACTTGCATTTTTTTACTGGGACACACTTACATGTCTGTTATTGTTTAGACTGTGATAGCAGAATTTTGTAACAGAAAGTGATAATTTAAAATAGAATCTGTTGTGACTGCTTAAAGATGTCTGCTGGAAGTAGCCATATCAAGGGATTGTGGTGCATCCACTTGAAGGTTATAAATAGAAAATTTGGAGTAAACTAGTTAAATAGAGAAAATGTTACATAGGTAGAGTAGTTACTGAGGTAACCATGAAGAAGTTTCTTGATCTTGCATAAGAGTTTAATTTTAAAGATACAGCTTGTTTTCTCAAAGTTGTCTTTATCATGCTTTACCAGTGGAACTGCATCACGATTAATTTAAATAAAAACTAAATTTGATTATTTCAAAAAAGTCGTATTAGCTACTGCCACTACCTCTTGATTTGTGAACAAATGATTCTGAGGTTGTGCATAGTCTGATGATACGCTTTATGATTCTGTTTTGAAAGAAGTCTGAACTGAAACCCTGTGGTTTACTTTCCGTGATGTCTTATCCCAGTTTATTTGGATGGCTGAGGTAGAGTAGTCCCATACACCTTACACGTTACAACATTCTGAATTATTATTTTGTCCCT